CTTTGTCGACCAATCCATCGCGACGCCCTGTGAGGCGATGTATCGAACCTTCCGTATGGAAGAGACGTTGGTGGACGACATCAACGACGACGAAGGAATGTGCTGCGCGACTCCACACTAGGGGACGGACCCGTACCCCACAGACGGGCAAGTCGACGACGATCCGGTCTGTACGGTGCTGATGAGCAAAGTTGCCGACGCCGCTTCCCAAGGCATGGATAAAGAGTCCGTACGACGCTTACAAAAATGTACTGGTGGAGTTCAAGGACGTATTCCGTTTGAAGTTCGGTCGGGACCCTCCGGTCAAGGTGGAGCCGTTGAAGGTGCATCTGAAGCCCGGATCCGTTAGAGTGAAGGACCCTCCGGTCAAGGTGGAGCCGTTGAAGGTGCATCTGAAGCCCAGATCCGTTAGAGTGAAATCAGGATTTCGGCGTTACCCACCGACCCATGTGGCGTACTTGGAGAAGCACGTATGTGAGCTCGAAGAAGCCGGTTTGGTGTACCTTAACACTCGGTCACGTTGGGCCGCCGCGTCCCGTATCGTCCCGAAGAAAGACCCGGGCGACCTGCGGATGGCGATCGACTCAAGACCGATCAACGCGTGTACGGAGCCGATGCCATGGCCGATGCCCAACTTAGAAGTTGCGATGTCCGTACTACAATACTCTACGGTGTACTACACTCTGGACTGGATGAAGGGTTATTGGTAACTGCCATTACATCCTGACTCCCAGGAGTACTACTCTTTCATGACGTCGGTCGGGGTTGTCACTCCAACGCGGGTGCTGATGGGCCAGTCGGATGCGGTGGCGTACTGTCAAGGCGTAGTGGACGAGCTGTTCGGAGACATGCTCATGCACGGTCTGCTCGGTTGGCTCGATGACCTGTTGGGATACGCCGAGAATACGGACGACTTGCTACGTTTGCTCCGTCAAGTACTGACTGTATGCCAGTCTCAAGTTGCATCCGGGCAAGTGTACGTTCTTCACGACGAAGACCGTATGGTGCGGAAAGGAGATCTCCGCGGACGGCGTGGCGCATGCACCGGGCCGAGTGCAAAGCCTTTGGGATTTGGAGCCGCCACAGACGGATGCGAACCTGCAAAGTTCCTGTGTGCTACGAACTGGATGCGTGCGAATATCCCTCAGTATACGTTGACGAAACTTATGGACATCTCGGCCAAGGCGGCCGACTCCCGTAAGAAGACCGCGTTGACCTTCGTGTCGTTGAGTTCAGTCGGTTGGGTCGACGACCATCAGGTGTGTTTTGACCGTATCAAGTCGAAATTGAAACGTATGGTGCCTTTGGCCCACCCAGACCCGGACCGTTTGGTTTGCCTCTATACGGACGCGAGCGAAGGATATTGGGGGGCAATAGCGACTCAAGTACCGGTCGAGGACCTTGCGTTGGTGGCGATCGACCAGCGGCACGAGCCGTTGGCGTTTCTGAGTGGAGTGTTCCGTGGGCGAGCGAACGGTGGCCTATCGTAGAGAAGGAGGCGTTTGCGGTGGTGGAGTCCTGCAAGCGACTTGAGTACCTGCTCATACGGCCAGGCGGGTTCCGTCTGTTTACGGATCACCGTAACCTCGTGTACTCGTTCAACCCGTTGGGTAGAACTCCAACATGGCCAAGTATCCCAACATTGAAGCTTGTGCGCCTGATACTTGGCCACATTCCACCACGTACGTTCCTGTACGTGGAATGTGTGGCCGGCGAAGACAACTTATGAGCCGATCTGCTCAGCCGTTGGGGGAGTGTTCCCATGGAAGCTCGTGGCACCCGTATGCAGAAGTTGGCACTGGTCTTGCCCTTACATACGAATACGTTCATTTGGCCTACGGCGGACCGCATTACGGAGCTGCAACGGGCTCATAAGGACTGCGAACGGTGCGGGACCTGGAATCTGGAGAAGAAGTGTTTCTAAACGGCGTCTGGCAAGATATGGATCCCAGATGTCGAGGTGGACATGCAAGCCCGTATCTGCATCGTGGCTCATGCCGGCGCGACCGGACACCGACGAGTTCAGGCGACTACGGAGTCGGCATCGGAAGTTTCCGAGTGGACAACCTTGAAGTCGGACGTCAAGAACTTTGTCACGGCGTGCCTCCATTGCATGGCCGTGGACAGTACGTCCGTACCCCGTCCGAGGGGCGAAGCGTTGCACGCGACAAAACCCAACGAGTTGATCCACTTCGACTGGGTGTCCTTTCTTGAAGCGGCGGACGGATTGAAGAACGACTTGGTGATCAAAGACGACATGAGTACCACCGGCTGCCGGCATCCTTGAGGTGATCGAAACCGTCGCCGCACCGTCTCTTGGCTCCGCGGTCTTGGAAACGGCCTTGGAATGCAAATCCGGCCGTCGGAT